TTTCTCGCTTTCTGTCTCTATGTCTCTCTCTGTCTGTCTGGCGAGTGCACATGCCCTATAGCAAAAAACCTCTCAAAAAATTATTTTTACTTTTTTTGTTTCAATTTTATTAATTATTATTATTATTATTTAATCTGCTATAGAGTGCATGCGCTCACCAGAGAAAGACAGTGGTAGAGAAAGTGAGAAAGCAAGCTGCCAGGTCCAGGACTCGAACCATAGTCGGTCATATGGAAGCCCATTGCCCCAACTACCACAATACCTGCTGGCCACTTTACTGTTATTTTTAAAGTTAAACCAAATAAAGTATTTAGAAGGAAACAATAAAGCCAACAGTAAAAGTTAAGAACCAAAAACACAGTAGAGGAATACAGTAAATGTTGTATAAAACTGATAAGCCTCTCATGAGGATAAGAAAAAAAAGGAAAAAGGGAGTATCATTAGATCTTAAAAAATGAGGTTGTAAGTAACTTTAAAAAAATGGGGCCAGCAGTTGGTGTAATGACTGTCGCTGGACTCCCATGTGGTCTACCATGGTTCAAGTCCAGACCCGGTGGCTTAAACTAACAGCGGCGCGGGTGCATGCGTGCCCAAGATCCCGAGAGAAGAATGAGGAGAAGGGATTGTGGAGAGAAGAATGAGGAGAAGGGATTGTGGTGTGGCCTTCCCCCCGGGAGGTGATTTCTTGCTTTCTCTCTGTCTTCCTCTGTCTTTCTGGAGAGTGCATGTGCCCTATAGGAAAAACCTCTCCCCTCTCCCAACAAAAAGACCAAACTCTCCAAAATATAAAATTTGCCAAAACTGACTCAAAAAGAAATAAAACCCCCATAGTCCAAAAATTGTTAAATAAAATATTGAATCAGTTTTTTTTTTTTTTGAGAGGTGTATGTGTGTGCTGAAAATCTCAACGAAATGGGGAAATAAAGGATAAAGGATAAAGAATCGTGGCATGATCACACCCCAGGACCACATCTCACTTTGTATCTCTCTGTTTCTCTTTGGCCAAGTACATGCACTCTCTGGCAATTTAAAAACAAAAAGCAAAAACAAGGCCACCCTAAGTGGATGCTTTCTCTTGCTCTCTGTTTCTCTCTCTCTCTCTCCCTCTCCAGGAAGCATGCACCCCCTAGCAAATTTTAAAACTTTAAAGCAAAAACTTAATTGTATTCCTAAACAACAGCAAAAATTAGAAAATTAACATTCTAAATGAATTTTACTCTTTTTAAAAAGGCATTACAAAGCTATCAAGTTCCTAATAAATCTAACCAAAGAAATGCAAGAGCTCTATAGAGAAAACTATAAAACATTAAAAGATACTTCAGAGCACCTGAAAAATGTGGAGCTGCTACACCATGTTCACAGATTAGAAAATTTAATATCAAGATGACTGTATGGGCTAGCTCATAGCATGGTGGTTAAGGTGGTGAGGTACCCCATGGTGTACTGCATGGGTTCAAGTCCCGGACTAGTAGCTGGAAAAAGACACCAGACCCGTGTGTGTGCAGACCCAAAATCCTGAGAGGAGAATGGAGAACAGATTGTAGCATGACCTTTCCCAGTGGTGGTGGTGGTGGGGGGTGCTTTTTCACTTTGCCTCTCTCTCTCTGGCAAGCGGCACACCCTCTAACAAAACTAACAACAAAAAAGACAGTTATCCCCAGGTTGACATACAGATTCAATTGTAATCTCAAATGAAATCCCTAAAGATTTGTTTTATTTTGTGTGGAATTTCACAAGCTGATTCAAAAAACTGTGTGAAGAGGCAAAATTTATTTGAAAATAGCCTAATAACTTTTGAAAAATAAACAGGAAAGATAGAAGAACCTTCTTTCCAATTGTAAAGATGTATCGCAAAGCTACAATATTTAGGATAGTGTGGAATTTGAGCCGAGACAGATAGACCAACCACAGCAAACAGACTCTGGCATTTTTTAAAATATGATCTATGTATAATAAGGATAGCCCAGCAGAACAATAGGAAAGGGCGTTCTTTTTCAATAAAAAAAATGCTAGGAAATTGAGTGTCCTTATAGAAAAATGTCAGGCTGAGCTTACAATTAAAAAAAATCAATCTTAGGGACGAGCAGTTGGCATAACAGTTATGTTGCTGGACACCATGAAGTCGACCACGGTTCGAGTACCAGACTCGGTGGCTTAAACTCAAGCAGAGCGCATGTGCGTGCGTGTCCAAGATCCCAAGAGGAGAATGGAGGAGAAAGGATTGCGGCGTGACCATCACCCCTGGGGGGTGATTTCTCACTTTCTGCCTCTCTGTCTGTCTCTGTCTTTCTGGCCAGCGCATGCACCCTATAGCAAAAACCTCTCCCCCCCCAAAAAAATCAACCTTAGGTAGATTTTATACCTAGATACAAAAGGCAAAACTATAAAGTTCTTTTTTTAAAAGGATTATTTTATTTAACTTTATTAATTTTTAAGGATGGTTTATTTTTTTTTTCACATGAGTTTTGCCAGAGAGAGACAGAGAGGGAGAGTGAGAAAGCAAGCTGCCAGGTACAGGACTCAAATCACAGCCGACCATGTGGGAACTGCAGCGCTTTAACCACCATGCCTCCTGCTGGCTCCTATTTTTTTTTATTTAAGCAGAAAAGGACAGAGTGAGAGAGAGTGAAAGAGAGAGGGAAAGTGAGAAAGCAAGCCACCAGGTCCAGGGCTTGAACTGTGGTTGGCCTTATGGGAGTTCAACACCCTTAACCACCATCCCACCTGCCTGTCGCAAAACTATAATGTTTGTACAAGATAATACACAAGGCTGCCTTTATGATTTGGGGAGTCTATAACAAAGATTTTTAAAATAGAACACAATACTAGGTATCTTTGGGACCAGGAGACGGCGTAATAGCTACTTCGCTGGACTCCCATGGAGTCGACAATGGTTCGAGTCCCAGACCCGCTGGCTTAAACTCATGCCAGGAACGTGTGCATGTGTGCCCACAATCCTGAGAGGAGAATGGAGAAGAAGAGATTGCAGCATGGCCACCTGCCCTGGAAGGTGATTTTTCACTGTCTCTCTGTCTCTGTCTTTCTGGTGAGCACATGCGCCCTATAGGAAAAGCTTCTCAAAAAAAAAAAAAAAACAACCTCGGTACCCTTAAAGAATTCAATGGTACAATCACTTTAGAAAACAGCTTCATGTTACCTAGTAAATGCGAACATCTGCATAGTCTGTGGCCAACTCCTCTACTTTAGGTAAATGTAGAGCTAAGAAACACATGTGCAAGTCATCAAAAAATATGTATGCTTAACAAAGCGTTATTCGGGGCTGGCAGGTGGCGTGATCGCAGTCCGAGTCCTTAATTTTGCAGCTTGCTTTCTCATTTTCCCTGCCTCTGTCTGGTCAAATTAAAAAAAAAAAAAATACTAGTAACAAATACAATTCAATAAATAAATTCTTCTTCTTTTAGATTTTTGCTATAGGATACATGCACTCGCTGGAGAGACAGACAGAAATCGAGAAATCACCCCCCAGGAAGATGGCCACACTGCAGTCCCTTCTCCTCCATTCCCCTCTTGGGATTCTGGACAGGCAAGCTCATGTGCCCAGCTGAGTTTTAAGCTACCAGGTTCCAGACTCGAACAGCAGTTGACTACGTGCGAGTCCAGCGACATAACCATTACACCATTTGCTGGTCCCAATAAATAATTCTTAAAAAATAGGAATATTCACAATAGCTAAAAACTAGAATACACTCAAACATCTATTAAGAAGAGAACTGAAAAAATGAGGCATGATCATAAAAGGCAATATTACACCATGATGAAAATAAATAAATTAGAGTAACAACAGGGATCAATATCATAAATAAACATCTAGCAAAACACAAAATATATTCAGCATGATTTCACTTATATGAAGTTATGAAGTTAAAAACCTGGCAAAACCAAATCACAGTAAGACATACATTGGGTGATAAAATTACAAAGATAAGCAATGAAGAAATTAACTTAAAAACCAGAATAATGTTACTTTTGGGGGGCCGGGGGAAGTTGTGATCATAAGGACCACATGGCAAAAGGCTTCTGGGCTAGAATGGTCCTGCTTCCTGCCTTGGGTGGCATGACACAGAAGTCCACAACATAATGCAGCCACTATTTCTGTTTATAATGTCCGTAATTGTCTACATTTGTGCTATATCTCATCACTGTAAGGGTGGAAAGAAGAATGCTCTGATGCCCTTGGTTTATCCATGTCAGACAATGCTCTGCATGAAGGAAGTTCATGGAGGACTTTGGTTACGTCTCTGGAGACAGGTCAGTTATTTCAAGAAGCAGCTTCTCCCACTCTGTATCCCAGAAAAGTAACTTACCCAGTGGTGACAGCATATTTGATGTGGTTGCTTGTGGTATAGATAAACACCCCACTCTCATCCCAGGCCCCACTCTTGACACGAATGTTCTCATGAATGTTACACAGAGCATCCAGCTTGCGGTTACAGATCACAATGGCTGTAAGAGGCAAAGGGCATGAGTGCTCTGCTGGATAGGGTGAGTGCAGTAGACTGGCAGGGACGGGGAGAGGGAGGGACTGGATACTACGAAGACTTACCATGCTTGGCCAGTAGTGCCACATGGGACATATCTGCTGACCAGATGACATATTTCACCTTGGAAATCTTCACAGATGCCAGGGTCCTGAGGTAGACAGAGGAGGGCAAACATGAATGGACTGGATTCTCCTGTCTTGGGCCATGACCTAACATGCTTTTCATCCTTAAATTAATATAAACCAAACAGTCATCCCCTGCATAACAGCTCAGTGACTTAGGCTCCCTTTGTGCACTTCCCCTTCCTCAGCTCCTTGCTCTTCATTGCCATGTGCTATTAGGGACTTGTGCGTGCCTGTTTTCATCACTGGACTGTGGGATTCTGTAAGTATAGGAACTACGTTATTTATCTCAATGTCCCTCTCGTTATAAGCCCCAGGAGCATCCTTAGCTTATGTAAGTACTACAAAAACAGATAAACGAGCCCTTGCAGTAAGGCTAGTATTATGTGCAGGATGGAAAATGACCATGGGAGGGAAAAGTATAGTTAGAAAGTCTTTAATATAAAGCACAGGAAGTGGACGAGCCATGAGGCACATTCAGCTGGGGAGAGAAATGCTCCTACTAAAGATGTCCACTGTGCCCTACTACATGTCTGTCTGCTTAGGGGCGCCTGACACGTTACCGCTTCTGCTGCACATCAAAGAGAGTGATGGAGTCTGCATCGCGAAGCAGGAGGTTGCCTGTGCCGGCGTAGAAGATCTCATCACAGTTCGGCACCTGTACTTTTTTGGTGATCTCATTTTTCAGATTCTTGATCAGCAGCTGAAATGAATATTAAGGTGGTACTGAGATGTTTGCAAATGAGGTGATGATAGCCAACAGCATCCCTCAGCAATTGTTCCTTGGCTTTGAAAAAGTATTTTTTCCCTGTCTAAATCAATCACCACTCCAGGTAGACCACTCCAACCAGGAGTCTCTCCAAGGATATCATCACCTCTTTTTTTCACCAACTGAAACATCCTGAGAAGTCCAAATGAAGTTTGAGTTCCTTAATGAACCACAGAGGAAAAACAGAGCTTCTGAGGCTTAAATTTTTGTTAAACATTTTCTTGAGAGAGCTTTGCTTATCATGCCTTTTACATTTCAGTACCAAAGAAGGTAGTAGGACAAAAAGGGAGATCTCTTCATCCAGCCCACTCACTTTAAATTTGGTCCTTTTTCTTTGGCTCCTACAGTCAAAGACAGTCTTTAACTTGGTTTTTAAGTCCAGAGCCATAGTGATCATCAAATCCATTTTAAAGCCTTTATTCCCCAAGGGGATTAGTGTAGGGCCAGACAGAGGTAGAGCCAACACATGAGGCTCACAGCTGCCCAGGGGAGAATAAGGAAAAAATGATGCTCCTTATTCTGCAATACACAGGCCACCAAGCTCCCCAAATTACTTTCCACTTTTAGTTTTGACTCACCGAATGCATCCGATCTAGGACAGCAAACCGATTCCGAGCAACCCAAACGGCTGTCAAGCCTGAGGATCGTTTCCCTTCAGGGGCTGAGAACAAACCAAACGGTGGGAGCATGTGGTGAGCCACTGGCAGGTGACAGAGTCAGTGCCA